TTCGCTGCGCGAGAAACCTGGCGCGCCGACGAAAAAGGTAACCATCGTCCACGCGGCGAAAGACGACTGGGATGGTATACCTCGGCGAAGAGAGCCCCAGAGTCAGGGAATGTCGGCGTCGACCAAGCCTCCGGCCACGCGCCTACTCGCAGGTCGATGAGGCTTGCGCGGGAGAGCAGGACGCTACGGCATTTCGGGAGAGTGGAACTAGGTCATCGGCCTATTGCACGTGGCGCACGTGAATTCCACCGTGGCAAGGCACCGGCGGGAGTGCCGTTGAGCGCAGAGCGGCGTGACACTAGACATGCATCGATCGTGACACGTCATGCCCGTGCACAGCGGCGCTTGCAAAGAGGGCTGCGTGGAGCGCGGCAGGTGCGCAGTGGCTCGCAACCATACCCCTCCTTGACCACGCACAACGCTCTCATTCTGCCGGTTCAGCTTCGTGTTTCTCTCATGCTCCTGTGCGCCATCTAGCACTTCGTTTTCTTCACAGGACCCTCGCTATCTCTGCGGGTGTAGGTTACTCGACGGCCGAGTTGACCGAGCGGCGGCACAAAGGCGACGACCTGGAATAGACTGCCATAGGTCGGTGTTGGGGTCGACCATCGTCGACTTCGCCTTACTAGGTTCTAGGTCGTCATCTAGGAAAGTCGGCGACGATAGATCAGGGCGACGATAGCATCTCCCAACCTTACCGAGTCGGCGACGCGTGGCCAGAGGAAGGGCTAGTGCCCAACAGCCACAACAACTTATCCCACCCCCCGCCGATTCGGTAGACGACGACATCAAAGCGCAACTGGAACGACTCGAGGTCGACGCTGAGTTAGAAGCACTTGAGAGGGAATTCGAGGAAGACAGCCGCAGGACGATTAGGGCGTACACCGCACCCGTGAATCAGTACCATCTCTGGTTGACCAATCTTTCCCTCTTCCACGGCCGGCGGTAGAGCATACGAGCGGTCATGGACGACGTCGACATGCCCGACGTTGGTACCCCAACCGACCACAGTCCGTCCTCTGCCCCCGTAGAGACGCTGAAGTTGCTTTACGATCTTGACAAACTTACTCAGATTCCCGAAGGGGAGTACACCAAGGACATACCGAATCCGCCAATTGGGGAGTTTACGAAGAAGTCGACACCGACGGCAGATGGGCAGACTGGACCTTCGTCGGTGCCCGCCGGCTCGGAAAACCAAGGTGATAACGACGAGGAGGACGAGGAAGAGAGCGACGACGAAGTCGACGACCGTCCTCCGCGTAGCACGAATCCGCGCACCTTGGAAGAACGCCTTAGGCGGGAATTTGAATACATACGTGACATGCTCGACGCGGACGAGAAGGAGGACGATCAGCACATGGCGGTGCCGCGCGAAGGGTGGAAGGCGACGGACTTTGTAGTGGACGACATGGTGTACTCCAGCATTGACGTGCTCATAATGGACGCCCTACGACACCTACAATGCTTGGAGAAGAATAGCACGCTCAGGCTGTACACCGCGTTCATCTACCACTACAAGAAGTGGGCGGCGAAGATGCTGAAGCAGCTACGCGACAAGCTACCCCATGAGCAACGACTTAGGCACGTCGACGAGATCGGCCACTACATCCGCGACAACAAGAAAGAGGATTGGTGCAACGAGAAAGTGGTCCGCCGACAGTACATCTGGCTGCACGGCCCTAGGGTCACCGAAACCCGGCTGCGCGCCTACGTGAAGCAAATGAGCCGTGAGTGTAACCTCATTGTTGACCAGCCCGGGGAGGAGAACAATGCCACGCGAACGGGGCCTGTGAGGTCGACAACTGTGCACACGATCCTCGGCCGGATAAAGGCATGCCAGATGGCGGCGAGGGTGGAGGCGACGCTGTACCGAGAGAAGGAGCTGGGCCTTATGAGGGAGATCTCGGTGGTGAGATCGGAGGTGCGGTTCAACGTCCGCCACAAGAACGAGAGGGACCTCAAGTAAGTTGGTCGACAACCTTATTATATATCACTGTGCACTGTGAAGTCGACGCAGTCTAACAGAATTTCCCCGCCGATTTGCGTTCAGGAACTGCGCCGACCGTCGACGCGGCACCATCGGCGATACCTACACCGCCGAGCAGTTCCGCCAGATCATGATGAGGGTGCTGCCGACATGGGCGGCGGCGGCGTGGAACCCGCGGGCTACCACTCCGTCGCAGACGCTGTGGCGATTCCTGCTCATCAAGGTGCTCACGCTACTCTCCCACCACACTCTCCTGCGCGGCGGCAGCATCCGCGAGATCACGCTCCCCGACATCTTCTTGTACCACCTGGCGAGCACCTCGGAGGTGAACCCGGATAGCCAGCCGGTCGTCATGGTGATCGCCGCGCGTAACTCGAAGACTTCCAAGGATGCCCGTCTTCAGCAGAGCTACGCTGCGCGACACCTGGAAGCGGAGCTGTGCGCCGTCGGCGAGACCGGCCTGTGGCTGCACTTCATCCTCGACCAGATCGGTCAGTTCTCCGGCACCGACTTTCTTTCGCCGCTTGACATCACAGAACGCGAACGCTGGTACAAGAAGCATCTCTTCTTCGCCAGAAACGACAAGGAGCAGGAGGAGCTCTCCTCCGCCACCCACCAACGTTGGACTCGGCAGGTGTGGACGACCAACAAGGTGTTCTGCAAAAGGAACGTGCACGCCGCCCGCGCCGGAGGTGCGCAGGAGTTAGCCATCGGAGGGACGCCGCGCGCCCAGATCGCCGAGCTGGGACACTGGGCTCTCGACAAGATGACGCGTGCGTACATCACGGCCATTCCCGTTGGGGTGGTGATGCAGAAGGCCGGCTACTCGGGACTCAAGCAAGACTACTTCTTGGGGCGCAGCAGGGTCGAGCCCTCCGACAAACTCCTGGACCTGCTCGCCGAGCACATCTTCCCCGGCGTGGATGCTATGCTGCGCGATGTATGTCACGCGACGCCGACAATGTATTTCAGTCGTCGTGGCCTAGTTGGCTGCCCAACTCCCTACTAACCCACGCCACTTTCCGACTTGCAGGCGGAGACGCGTGCCGTCAACGGGAGCGACGCCGCTGCAGCCGCAGTGCACTTCTTGCGCACCCTCGTGATGTTCCGACGAATCGTCGCCGAGGACCTCGCGGTGAAGCTCGTCCGCACACCGTGGCACCCGTACGTCCAAGGTTCCAAGCTCTGCAGGATTGCCCTCTTCCAGCACTGGGCGAAAAGGGTCGAGTCGGTCGACACCGATACGATCAAAAAGCGCCGGGACCCGACTCAGATACAACCGGAGGTGAGTTGCCGACCATGTCGGCGTTGTTGGATTTTAGCCGGTGAATTCTAACCTCTTGTCGCCTTTCCGCACACCCAACATTGCAGGAAATATCCGTGCGCATGGACACCCAGTATCACAACATGTCCCTCAAGGAGGCGCTGAAGAAGGAGGTCGAGCGCTCGGCGCTCGAGAAGCTAGGCTTTCAGGAGACGATCGAGAAGCAAAACGACACCATCGCGTCGCTCACCGCCGAGCTTGCTCGACTCACTGAGGCACTCCGTGTGTCAGAAGCCCGGAGGATGCCGGCGGCGCCGACGTCGGCTACCGATCAAACTCCGGGCGAAGGTGGCTCCGCGGATTCGGCCAACACGGGGACCGGAGCCAAGAGAGATGATGGGAAACCCCCGCCACCCCCCCAGACGGCAGAGGAGGCCAGTTACGAGCTCAACGTCGTGCAACCTTGGCGGGATTCAAAGACCGTGCGGGACGCTTGGCGCCTCTGGAACTCCGCCACCGCCAATGACACCCGTCGTCTTTGCGACAGGGTCGCCGAGCCGGGGTTCATCGACCGCCACACCCTCCTCAAAGGCGCGACCCAGGGTGCACTCAACATGAGGGTGCGCCGCATGCTGAAGGCCATGGATGCGGTGCGCCAGCTACGCGCGAGCGACGGCGATGCCGACACCGAAGCCGTGGTCGATGCACTGAACACGATCGCGGCACCGGGCATTGGTACCTTCTGCGATGCCCTCACGGTGCTCAACCCGGTGACGGCACCGACGATGTCCAAGGAGCCTGGCATGGGCGTCAAGGGGCTTGGCCCCAAGGTGGTCTCGAAGCTACGCCTCGCCTGTGCGCTGGTGGCGCTCGAGCTGAAGCCGACGACGTGGGTCGACCGCCTGTTTCCAGACACCTGGGAGGAGCAGATGCCGAAGACCGTGGCCGACTTGGCCAAGCAGACCGCACCTGCGCAGCGTCCTCCGTCAAAGCGCAAGAAGTCGGCATGAAGATCCTCGGTGTATATGTGTTAGCGTAGGTTGATGATACGTTAATTTAGCAAACCGTTGTGTTCCCATCGCACTTGTTCATTTTGATGCAACACGAACATACAAGATCCAACACATACATCCGAGCCAGATATGTCGGACTCCGACATAGTCGCCACCATGTGTGTGCAATTCATTGTGCCTTATTCATGTCGACATCGCTGACTGCATGCAAACGGCGCAAACGGCGCCCATCACGCTATAACCGAGCAATCATACCACCTAGCGCTCCTTCCGCGCGCCGACTACGCATCCGTGCTGTCCATGCCCGCTCGATATGCGCGTCAAACGGCACATCGATGCCGACCTCCTAGAGTTTCGGCCACCTGGGCGGCGCGGCACATTCCCCAAAGCGCCGACCATTGACCATCTCGGCCTAGCCGACGATGCTCATCGCCGAGAATATACATGCATACAGCCAGACGCACTATGTCGACACCGTACGACGGGGTTCATCGAACCGGGGCCCGCATTTGAGTAACATGGTATATATCAGGTCGACCTTGCCGAGGAGTGTTCTAGTAACATGCATTACCAAAAAGTTACAGCCAACAAAAGAAATCCCAACGAAAACTATACAATCAAACGAAAAAAAAAATCCCAAAAACACCACATAATCGACGCCGCCCATACCAGGCCATCCTTGCAAGAAGACCTACTTGCGCTCCCTCCTGCCGCCCATGGCAGATTGTTATGCCGACTACGCCGCCGTGCTGTCCTTGCCCGCTCTGCCCTTCTTCCCCTTCTTCCCCGAGCTGTCCTTGACCTGCTTGCCCCTCGGCCTCTTCCTCCCCCTGTGTTCGATGTCGTACTCCATCTGCGCGTCAAGCGGCACCGCGATGCCGATCTTCCTGAGTTTCGGCCCATCCACGGGGCACATTCCCCAGAACGCGAGGGTTTCCACCGTCGCTCGTGCGATCAGTTTGGCCTCGGCTTCAACATCCAACCCCGGATAGGCTTTGGCCAGAGCGGTGGACTCCAGCGCCGGTGCGACGTTGTGCGCAACCTCCCCAAGGGGTTGCTGCCTGCTGATCGCGGCCTCCAGCACCGCCGTCATGACCTTCTTGAACTCGGCGGCGGTAGTCTCGCTGGCGCCGACCAACATCGCCGCCGCCTTCCCTTCGCGGACGGCATCAGCCACCTGGGCGCCGTCGCCCTCGACTAAGCACCACAGTGCGCAAGCTGAGGCCGACAGCGCCTGTGCGACCTTCGCCGTCTTCTGATCCGTGTCGCCCTCCATTCTCGCCGCGGATGCAGCGACCTCCCCATACGCCGCGCACAAGGACACGCGATCAAGCATGGCCGACATCATTGCATCCGACTTCCCGTCGGCATCGACGGGGAACCAGATCGCGGGCAAAAGCGCGTCGTGGTGCGCATCGCCTGATGTCTTGTACGCTCTATACTTCCCGAGGATGTCGTCGAACCTGTCACGCAAACGAAACTGGCGGTTAGGAACGCCGACGTCGACATCATAGCTTGGCCGACGTTTATCCGACTTACCGTGTCCTTGGGAGGAACGCGCCCCTTGCCCAGATCACCGTCCACATCCCAGCCGGCAAGAACCGGACTTCCTTCCACACCGCCCTCCACTGCTTCATCACTGTTTCCTCCAGGCCGGTGAGCTCAGCCATGAGGATCTTGCTGACGAAACCGTCGTACAGGAGGTACACAATGGAGTGAAGGTACGCCAGCTCCATCTTGTCGCGGGACTTGCCAATGTATCTGCTCTCGTTCCCGACCACCTTGATCTCGCCCACCCACCCTTGCTTGTCGCCCGTCGAGTCGTGGCGGATGCCATGACCCTTCCGTTCTTTCACCTTCACCTTCTCCTCCTCCGTCGCCGCCTCCTCCTCCTCCAGCTTCTTCTCCTCCGCCTCCTCCACCTTCTCCTCCTCCTCCTCCTCCTTCTCCTCCTTCTCCTCCTCCTCCTCCTCCTCCTCCTCCTCCGTCTCCTTCTCCTTCTCCTTCTCCGTCTCCTTCTCCTTCTCCTTCTCCTTCTCCTTCTCCTTCTCCTTCTCCTTCTCCTTCTCCTTCTTCTCCTCCTCCTCCTTCTCCTCCTCCTTCTTCTCCTTCTCCACCATCGCCGTCGCCATCCCCTGTCCTTTCTGCACCGACTTCACCATCGCCGACGTCGCCCGTGTTTTCTTCTTCGAGCTCGGCCTCGCTTTCCCTGCGTCGACCGTCCCCTTCCGTTTCGACTTTCCCGCGCCGACCGCAGCAGTGGTCGTCTTTGGCTCCGCTGTACAGCCGGTGGGACTCGCCGAGTCCAAGATGGCCAGCACAGGGGGCTGCTTGGGGCGGTTTACCGCTTCCAACAGGTCCTGGATGGCAGCGATATCGGCGTCGTTGTGGTCCTTCGCCGCCTGTGCAGGGTCAACTGATCTGCCGCCCGTGGCTAGCGCTGCACTCACGCCCTTCTCCAGCACCGCCTCGATAGTAGCCGCACCGAGTGTGTGTGCAGCTACGGTCACCGACGTCGGCGTCGCGCATGAGCTGGATACCGGCTGAGCCCGTGCCGGCGCAGCCGCAGTACGTACGCCTAACTGGGCGCGAAGCAACGCGGACTTTGGGTCCACAGGAGGACGGGCGGCGATGATAGGCGCGGTAGGTGGGGCACTGGACGTTGTGGCGGCGACCTGGGGAGTGACCGAGCGACGTGCTGTTGTGGCCGGCGCGGTGCCGACCACGGGAGGCTGCTGCACGTCCTGTCGATGGGTCTCCATGCGGCTGAGCATCTCCCTGAGCGCGTTCGCCTTTGGGGCGGACGGACCAGCGCGGTTAGCCGCAGCATCCACCGCGTCAACCTTGGCGGCAGACGTGCCTGCTGGTGCTGGAGTAGCCGCAAGGGACGGCCCATCGTTGTTGGCGGCTGACGGGGCGACCGGCGCGCTGCTAGCCGCAGGGGGTTTGCGGGGGATCGACGTGGTCCCCGCCACTCCGACGGACGGTCCTTTGACGGTTTTGGCGCCGCCATCTATCGCCGTTGGTGCGGTCGCTAGACTGGCCGGCTTCTCGGCGACCAATGGCGGGGCTGTTGGTCCAGCCTCTTGAGCGGCAACCTGGTCGGCAGGGCCCCCCTCCGCACTCCTGATTCCATCGCCCTTGCTGTGCGTCCTTATCACCTTGGTCCCGTTCTTCTTCAGCTGGTCGACCACGCTCGTACCTCCGCTCCCATCGGCTCCCTTGCTCCGCGAGCCGCCTGGAGCCACCTGGCCGACGCCGCGGCTCCCATCGGCTCCCTTGCTCCGCTTCGAGCTCAACGCATCATCTCCGCCGCCCGCCCTTTTCGCACCCTTCTTGTCGGCCTCGTTGTCCGACGGCGACGACCCATGCCGACCAGGCGCCAGATGGCCGATCACCTGGGTCATGAGGTTTAACCCGGACGCAGCAAACGACTGCTGGGTGGCCTCAGTCACCGCCTTCAACACGTCCGCCTTGAAAGACTTCATGAGCTCGTCCGGGACGGCTGGCGGTGGGGCGGGCTGCGTGGGCGGCGGGACGGCGACGCGTTGAGTTACCGCGGCGGCGATGTTGGTCTGCGCGGCGACTAGGTGCTTCGATATGTATTCCTCCAATCCCTTCCTCGCTTCGTCCACGTGGTTGTCCAGGGCGACGACCGCGTTCGCACGTTGCACCGCCATAAACCCCTCCGGATTCTCTAGATCGTCCAACCAGCTCTCCGCCCTCTCGGCGTACGCCTTCATCGCCTCCCATGCTTCACCCATGTTGGCGGTGATGTTCTCCGTCACGGTCGTCGCCATGGTCAAGGACGCGTCCATCAGCCGACTCGACGCGTCCTGGTCGGAGGCGGCGACCTGGTCGGCCAACGACCTGAGCTTGTCCACGAGGTGGCCAATCCCCATCGCGAACCTGTCCACCCGACCCCTCTCCACTCCGAGCGCCGTCTCGAGTCGAGCATTTTCTGCCCTCAGCCACATGTTCTCCTGTCGCAGCTGCGCGACGACGGCCGGCGTTGCCTGCCGACCAGCTGCTGAGGAACCCGGTTGACGGCCCGCCTCTACCGCTCCACCCCGGCGTTCCACCCCTGCGTTCCCTGTGGTGGTCTCCACGCCCGTCGGCGTCGGGGACGCGACGTTATCCTCCTCCTTCGCGTCGCCAACCACATTGCCGACCACGTGCGCCTCCTCCACGCCGACATTCTCCACATCGGCACCCTCCCCTCGCACGTACACAACATCCGCCGACATCCCGCCCGTTCCCTCCACGGCCGCCGCCGCTCCCTCCACGGCCACCGCCGCCGCTCCCTCAACATCCTCCATCTCGAATTCGACCCAGGGGAACTCTACCTCCTCCTCCCCCTCTTGCTGCTTCTCCCCCTCCGCCACCTGCTCCACCGACCCGAAACCCTGCTCCACGGCCTCCGCCGCCGCCGCCTCCTTGTCCTCCTCCTCCTCCTCATCATCCTCCTCCTCCTCCTCCTCGTCCTCCTCCTCCTCCTCCTCCTGCCCATGCCCCTGCTCACGCTCCTCACGATCCTCCTCGTTATCATCCTGATCGTCGGTGTCATCCTCCTCCTCCTCCTTTTCCTGATCCGCGGTCCTCGCCACAGCCCTCTCTGCCTCCTCATCTGCCTTGTCGACGCCGTCTCCGGCCTCTCCGCTTGTGTCGGCGACACCGACTGCTTGGGATGCCGAAGGGGGCTCCGCGGCGTCGTCTTCACAGGCATCGGCACCAACTCCGACATGGCCTGACCGTCTGCGTGCGACGTGTTCCTTGATGTTTGTCATCATCCGAATCCGCAGCTCCTTCAACCCCGAAACGAGGACCTTGTCCATGCTGGTCGCACTGCGACGGTCGTCGCCGGTCAGGCGATCCATCCTCTTCACCACCCAGCACAGCGCGCTCATTGAGAGGAGGCCAGAGCCTGCGTCGCCGTCCCGGACGGTGTCGCGCATTTTCTGCAAACAACAGAGGAGAGAGCAAGGATGAGCACCGACGGCGGAGATGGCATCGCGCTAGGACGGTAAAACGATCGGTACTCACATCTCGAACGGGTTCATTGAAGTCGGCGAGCCTGGCCGCCACCTCTTCAGCAGAAGGCTTCGGCCACTCCCAGTGCCGGCCATCGCGGCCGAGCTCGGCCAGCACCGCCGCCCGGAAAAACCTGAAGCAACATGGCACATATCGTCAGTAGACTTGCTTAACGCCCAGCGGCGAAATTGCATGCGTCGTCGACTACACTATCGAGCTCACTTCAGCACGCGGATCGCCTCGTCGCGGTGCCACTGCTTCACGGTTTGCGGGTCGAAGTGCCGGACAGAGGTCCTGATCGTCTCTCCCCCGGCCCGCAACAAGTCGCCGGGGTACAGGATGACCACGACGCTACAATGTGCCCCTGGAAGCGGTGCGATGCTGCACAGGCTAGGCACCACGACGTCGATCAGAACGGAGCAGCGACATAAGGCATCAAGGCACACCATCATGACTTAGGCTCACCTCGAATGCAGAGGGATAACAGCTACGTCGGCGTCGAACACCGTTGCAAAGCATGAGTGGTCTTCCTTGCCCATCGCCGCCCGAAGCCGGCCGAGTCCTATCGACCACAATCGCATGTTGGCCGGCGCCGCGCGGATCCATGCGTACCTGCACGCATGCATGGGTAGTAGATGTGTTTGAGGACGTGCACGGCATGACGGATGGACACGTGGGTTCTGGAACCGACAACTGACGGGGATGGCTAGAGTAGAACGGTGCACCACCGTCGCTACGTTGTAATCAATGGCGCCTACCGATGCGGGCACCGACCTACTGTAGTGATCGGAGTACGATGCCTACCTACGGCTGCGTGCGTCACCGAGTAGTGATCTAAACCCTAACGTGGGACAACCCTATCGACGTCGACCTGCAAGGTATCCAGCGGTCGACGTCGACATCCCAATACGGACACTCACTTGAGGCCGAATCCCAAGCAACGGGCGTTGAACTCTAGCCTATGGTCTACGAGGACGGCGTAGTCGTGTTCGTCGAGCTTGGCAGTCAGTCCACTGCCCAGGTCGAGATACAGAGGGAAGTCCTGCGAAGTCGGCGTCACTTCGCCGAGTTTCGTGGCGGCCGACATGGCGGGGAAGGGAAGCGGCTAAGGGACGTGAAATGTGGGAGAAGGCGCAGAGCTGGGGAAAAGGTGGAAAGGGAAACGAGATGCCGAAAATGAGGAGCTATGCCCCCTTCCACCAAGAAAAGGGGGTCGGTGCCCCACAGGAACGGTCGAGGCATCGCCCGGCCCTCGTGGTGCCTTCCTCGGCGGGGTTTGGCACAAGTCCTCCACAAGTGGCACAAGTCCTCGTTCGCCGCCGAGCCAGCAAGTCGATGTCACGCCCCGAAGCGAAAAACGTGCGCCGCGAAGCGATCGACATCGAATTCGCGATGTCCCGAATTGAGTTCGCAATGTATCAAATTCTGCATGTTGCCCGATGCGAAGCAGGCGGGCGAACACGTGGCGTCGCCGCAACGGGTCGCGAAATTGTCGAGCGTCCCGAGGGGGCCCCGACATTTCGCCCGGCCCTCGCCTGCCCGTCCGGGCAGGCCGCGATGGGTTACTAGGACCTCGAGGGCAGGTGGCGCGCGTGGGCTGCCTTCGCGCGAGGGTAATTTTCCCACGCGCGAGGTGTCGCCAGTTCGCCGACCCCACCCGGTAACGTGGGCCGCTGTTCACGTTCGGGGCGGGGCCGCGGGGCGGCGGTCGTGCGCTCGGGCCAGCCCTGGGCCAGGCTGGCGGGCCCGCACGCGCGTCAGTGCTCCGCCCCGTCGGCCCAGGCTTCGACGACCCCCCTCGTCGACACCGGCAACTCGGGTCCGTCGACCTGATTCCGCTGGGGTGTTCGGTAGCGTTTTGTCCTCAAGCTAAGTGTTTAGTATCGCATAGTCGTCTCAGACATTGAAGCCTTTGCAAGGCCAGTTTTAGGACATGAGTCATTCCGCACGCATCCACTCTCTTCCCGACGATGCGCTTCTCAGGATCTTCTGGAATTCTGATCTTTGTCAGCCCACGTCTTCATAGTCACTCTCCAATTACGTCTGTAATGGGATCGAACCAGATCGAGAGCCTGAACCGCATTTCTCGTTGCCTCCTGTCTCTGCCAATGTCGCCCACGTTCTCCGCATCGCCTCGGTCTGCCATCGCTGGCGGGAGCTCGCACAGTCCGTCACAACGCTTCACGTTTCACCAAATCGTCTGGTGTCTCGCCGGGATCTGAAACGCGTTTTGGCGTCCTTCCCGAATCTCACTCAACTGCACCTGAGCGACGGGAGCATGGAAACGATCGATGACGATTTTCTCGCATTTCTCAGCTCTTCGTCTCCAAACCTAACCGCTCTTCATGTCGATTCAGGTATAGCTCCAGAGGATGACGAGGCGTATGATGAGGAGGAGGTGGACGACTTTGATATTTCGGAGCACCCTGTCACAGCAGCTGGGCTGAACAGTCTTTTCCGCCGATGTCGCCGCTTGGAGCAGCTGTCACTTCAGTGCCTGCATCGAAAAACAAAGTTCCCAATTTTGTTATTCCATCTGACACACCTGCACACTCTGTCCCTTGGGAAGATATCGCCTCTGAAGGACCCAAACTTCGGCAATCTGTCTTCGCTCACAAATCTTTCGATTCTGAAACGGGACATGCGATTACATCAGCTGACGCCGTTAACTCGCATTCCGAACCTGGCCAGCCTGTTTTTTCGAGAAAGGACATGGTTCCATGATGTAGAGGAGGATTTTTCATTCGATCATCTGACAGCACTTCGTTCGCTTGGATTTATGCGAGGGTCGACAGTACTTTCTTCAGATTTTCCGTCAGAATCACCGCTTTTCCGTATTCAACGTTTACTGCTTACCAACTCCTTGCCTGAGAATCTTGGCGAGCGGTTCCCGGCTCTTTTCGAACTCTCTCTTTCCGGATTCGTGGATTTGACTGAGCTGCCAGATTCCCTCACTAGCATCAGCACCTTGGAAGTTCTTAACATTTCCAACTGCGGTATATCCAGCCTGCCTGAGAAGCTTGGAAATTTGTTAAGGCTGAAGAACTTACTGTTGAGAGGCTGTTCGCTGAAGAAATTTCCCGATTCCATTGGGTTACTCGCCGGGCTTCAGAAGCTCTCCATGAAGGGTATGAACATTGAGATCCTCCCTGCAGCAGTTTCATGCCTGTCTGCTCTCGAATCATTGACAATCATGTATTCAAGGCTGACGTCGATCCCGGAGGAGATAGGCGAGCTGACCAATCTCCACACTTTGGTGCTGAGCGGGAATCGTGTCCTGCAGAAGCTGCCGCCATCACTCAGTCGTCTCTCCTCTCTAGCACAGCTCGATCTCAGCAACTGTCCCATTAGAAGCCTTCCAGAGGGTACAGGCCAGTTGGGTGGCCTGCGAGAGCTGACCTTGAGCTGTAGTCATCTGACAGAACTGCCAGCATCCATCACTCAGCTGAGCCGCCTGGAGGCTCTCAAGGCTGACATGTGTCTTGATCTCGCATCTGCCCCTAGATCCATGGGAAACCTCTCGAGCCTGCGGGAGCTGGATCTTTCTCACTGTTATCCGCTAACGGAAACTAAAGAAACTCTACCAAGGTTTCTGGAAACCTTGCGGTTGGGAAACGGCATCAGTAGCATCATTCTTCCTGACATGTCAACGGCTCCAAATCTTAGGAAGCTGTTGTTGAATCAGGTTGCTATCATGGATGCACCAGCTAGGAGCTGTTGCCTCTCTCAGTTAGAGCACCTGGAGATGCGCCTGGGCACTGAACAAAGAGAATTCCCACTGTTGCTCGGGTTCCTTTCATGCCTCTGCGTTCTTCACATCTCATGTGCCAGGTCCATGCAACACCTGCCTCGTGATCTTGGCTCTCTGTCTCAGCTGCGGGAGCTGCACGTGGAATGGGCGGAATTTTTTTAGGAGATTCTAAGAAGTGTGGGCCAGCTTGTGCAACTCATATCTCTTCATATTGAAGCTTCGAATCTGACCCACCTTCCTGAGACCATCTCTTCCTTGTCGAGATTGGGTGACCTCAGCCTGCGGAATTGCTCCTTCTTGACAAGCCTGCCCTGCTCTTTCACCGCCCTCACTTACCTGCACAAGTTAGATGTCAGCGGCACATCACTTCAAGTCCTCCCTCCCAACTTCCACCATTTGAGAAGACTTAGAGAGTTGAACCTGAGGGACTGTGAGGAACTTCGGTCCCGTCCATCACAAGAGCTGCGATACATGACAATGTAGCGAGTGCTGGATGTTCATGGCTGCAAGCTGCTTGGCCCAGATCCAGTGACTCCCGATGTTTATTTGAGGCATGGACTCCAGTACTACTCTCCAAGTGGTCTCTATCCTTGAGATGGAGCCCTTAATATAGAGACCACTTGAAGATTGTGAACTAGCAGAATTATATTCCCTGTTTCGCCCAGGTTCTCCTGGAAACAAAAAGTACTACCGGTAAGTACGGTAAAGTGGCTTGCAAATGTTACTCAGTCGATGAAAGAGGTGCTATACATGGACGACGTGACCAATGTCGCCCGACATTGATTACGGCCTGCATTAACTTATCTCTACACTAGGAAAAACGCTAGAATCCCTTGCATGGCTGCCATGCAACGAGAAGATAGCTGCTGGATTGGATGGTGAAACTTTTCCCCAGTGCAAGATTCCCTGACCTAATTATCCAGTAGGCAAGTGCGGGAACCGTTTCTTACCTTGCAAAAACTAGCCAAACCGCACTAGACAAACAATGGATGAAGGGGTGTGCCACGCCACCCCCAAAACGAACAGGAGTCACGTTAGAACCTGTTTTGATACTTCATCTGGCTTTTAAATTCCATAACCAGCAGCCGTTCCGAGATATTAGCTCACAAACGGGTACATCGCAACCCCACATTAAAAGCAAAAAGTGGTCGAAACGAGACCTTCAACCGATCGACGGAACATCCCACTCCTTCAAATGCTCAAATCTGCCTCGCAAACCTGCCGGTTCATCTTCGTCGCATGTCGCCCGTTTGCTGACAAGCTCCATCGCTTCCCACATGTTTGCCTCGCCAATGCTAGAGCATAAAAAAATTGCGATTGCCGCGACGTCGCGCGCGAATTTGAGCCACCTGCGACGACGAGTCGACGACCCACTCAGCTAATCCCCTCCACCACCCGCCTCATTCGAACTCTCCTTTCTCATTTCACTAATCCAGTCACAAGACAACTAGCTTCAGCAGCGTGAGCAGCGAAGTAGGTAACCTTGCACCTCTCGCGCGTCGACCCTTACGTTCACGCTCTCAGGTGCGCGGCCTCCCTTAAGCCATGGGAATGCGTGGTAAGTATGTTTTCTAATGGCTTCACTGTTCCAGGCTCAAAAATATGGTTGAAAAAGAGATGAAGTTCCCAGTATGGGCAACGTGTCATATCGCATTTCTTCTCATCCTGTACGGCATGAATAGTTTGATAGTTAGGCCTAAGGTTTGTCATTCCTCTCGGGTAGTTCCTCTTTTCTGATACCTAATCGCGCCAATCTCGCCGTTTCAGACTCCAACAGCAGTATTTTGGAAGAATGGTGTCGGCAGTGCCATCGCCCTTCAATCCTGTTTTTTTCTTGCCAGCAGCTATGGAAAATAATCACGGGAGGAGAATACTTCAATCCGCCGCGGCCCCTCCATGTCCACCGCCAGGCGTTCTAATCGCGTACAACTACCGCCTCTATTGCATCACATGCACTGTAGATCAGGAGCTTATAACGGGAGACGATTTCCCCTGGTGCCGTGCAGTCGACTGCAGCACCAAATACGGTCCTTTCAGGCCCATCTGGAACACCATCAAGAATTTATGCGAGACTCCCCTTCCGCCCTCCCCTTATTCAACTTCCTGCCTCCCCGGGTTCATCTGCACGTCCCCTCCCCCGCCTAGCCCCCCGTCCCCTTCCCTTCCGCCTTCCCCCTGGCTCCAACCGCAAATTCCTCCTTCCGTCCCCCCTGCAGTTCCCTCCTATCCGTCTCCATCCCCCCTTCCCACCTCTCCCCTTCCTCCTGGTAGTTCCTTTCAACCTCCTTTATCAGGCTCACCATTCTCACCAGCTACACCCACATACCCGTTACAAC